GCCGCTTCAGCGACCGCCCCAGGCCAGGCCGCCGCGCTCCCCACTGAGGGGAAGGGGCCCTCCGCGGGGTGGCCGGTGGACGGGATCCCCGCGAAGGGCTGGAAGAGCCAGTAGGCCCCCGGGGAAAGGAGGTGGCAGGGCTGAAGTCCCACAGCTCTTCTCCTCAGGCCCCGCTGCCGTCCCCAGGGGATCCATGTCCTCCATAGGGCAGAGGCACTTTCTCTGCACAGCAAAAACACGGCAGGAGAGGCAGCCAACACCCCTTTCCAACCGATAAGGTGGTTAGAGCGTGCCTTGCTGGAAAAGAGGCTTGAAACCCTCTTCTCTCAGCTGTGACTCAAAACACAGTTCCTGGCAGGTCCCCGGGGCAGCAGCACGCACAGAAATTCAACACGGGCTTGGGCAGAAAGAGAGGGGAAGAGGGTCCCTAATTCCATATCCTAGTAAGGGCAGGATCTGTGAAATACAGAAATAGCCTGGATTTCTACTTCGATTATTTGGAATTTAGATAAGCTCCCCTTTGCATTACATAAACAAATGGTGATATGTCAAGTACACTACCTTAAATATTTACACAGTAAGCCCAGCTCCCTCAGCAGTCCTCTTGCTTTCCCTCAGATTAGAGGAAAGCGAGTTACAGAATAAAGAATTTTAACCAGCCGTGGTCTGTTCAAGCATTGTATAAGTGTAGACTTTTTTTTTTTTAAAGAGTGATTTAGGGTCTTTCATATGTCTTTCAGTTACATCTATTTCTGTATGTGAGAAATCCTGGGAAAACAGACGACCATCATTTTACAGTCCTACAGTCCTGAACTACTAAAGCTTGAATGTTGAATGCTCCCTGTTGTGTTTACAGAAAGAACCTAACACCAAAATGCTAAGGAGCATGAAGTTAAGGTAAAACATAATTTAAAAAAAAACCCCAGTATTTAGCAGAATTGTACCTTTATTTAGAGTTCTTTTAATGGTGTCTTCTTGAAACTCAAGGTGCAAGCATAATGCAAGTTTAGGTGTCACAAGCTCTAACTGCTTTTACAGGTTTTAGAGTTTGGGCCAGACTCATTCAAGAAATTTTGGAGCTGAGCTTAATGGACTTCCCAAGATTTGAACTAGATTCCTCAAATGCTGTGTGCCGACTTCCTAACCTAGCTAACAGAAAATACTGAAAAAAAAGAGCTGTTGCTTAAACTCCACTTCTCAGAGCTAGGTAATTAAGAGTACAGAAGAACGCCTCCTTGCACTGAAGTCACAGCCACAATCTATCTCTGGGCATTAGGTATTTAACCCACGCTTTCCTTACAGAAGATTGCAGTCGCATTCTTTCCTTGCCTTCCAGACGAGAGCTCTGTAGTTGAAGCTCTCAGCAGGGGTTATGGAAATTAGGGCTTTGCTCCTATCCTTGAGAGAATTAAAGGAACCTCTATTATAATCTTCTAGATAATTGATCTGATCACTCTGCCAGTACCGCTGATGTACAGGGCAGTCTGGAGCAAAGCTCTCATTTGACCCTTCCTGTTGAAATTGTTCTTTTTACTGCGGGCTGACTAGTAATTGCATGCTTTTCCAGCCTTTTGGTTCAGGCACTCATTTCAGCAGGAAGGATCTGTTTCTGTCTCTGCTGCAATGAATGTCACCTCCAAATGAGTGGTTTGTTCACTAGCCCAGTCTCATCACGCCAGTTCTTGTCAGGCTGCGCTGCTGTTGCCTTCTCTCCCCTCCCACCTCCACTCTGGCTCACTTTTTTCACAGCTTTCTCAGTACTCATTCTTCAGCAGCACTCCATTTTTCACCATTTGCTCCTCCTCCTCCCATCAGAATTGGTTCCATTCCTGCACCTAACCTAGTATGCCTCATCAAGGTGATTCACCTACTCTCCACACACCTTATCTTAAATACTGTTGCCTTTCAGTTAGGATCCGGAGAGCTGTGTTCTCATCTTCATTCTGATTTTGGCTGTGCATTTCATTATGCCACACGAACTTGAAGCTATTCAAGAGGAGGGATGGAGAACACTCCAGGTTAAGCTACGTCATGGAGGTTAGAGCACTCCACAGGGAGAGAAAACATGCGGCCTGGCCTGCCTTTGTAGACATTCCCAGCCTTCACAGTGGACATCCATCCAGGCACTGTAGAAATACCAATTCTTGCATTTGCAGTTAAATATTTGAGAATTGGGTGCTGGGAGATCTTGCTCCAACGAGGAGAGACCAGCTGCAACACTTTAACAATACATGCTGATAAAACCTGTGTGAGAGGCACCGAAACACTTTGTGTCATGAATCATTCTCAACCTACAAGTCCTGTTAAGAAAAATCTTACAGGGTGCTATTTTCTAAATAACATGATTTGAGCCAGCCATCAGGACATGCTAACGCACCAAGGAAGCAAAGGGAAGTCAAAGCTCAGCAAAGCAAGTTAACCTTTTAAGAAAGTCTTCACTGTTGCTTTCGGCAGCACCTGGATGCTTTAGTTACATGGATGCACTTTATTTCCATGCTAAAATGTGTTTGTATCATCTTTCTTCAATCAGTCAGCTGGATTGAAAGATGTGGAAAGATGGCAACATTTTTTGAGTGAAATAGAGCTAGGATGAAACTGGTTATCCAAAAGAGCAAGCCAGTGACTCCATCCTTATCTACATCTTTGCATAGCAGCATTGCAACTTATTTTCCACTCTAGTCAGCTTTGAAAGAGTCATCATTAACGGGCACATCCGAAAACAAACTACAGTCACTATAAGCACATTGCTCCTGTGGAAGTCAAGAGTTTTTGCCTGGCCAGCTTCATTTCAGGGTAGCAGCTATCAACACAATGCTCATGCTTCCAGTGACACTCTTCATCCCACCTATTTGTTTAGTGAGCCTGGGGAGAAGCAGGGGGATGTGACATCTAATTAGATTTTTAAGAATACATGTTTTCCCTGGATAACAGTGGGTTAAGGCAGCTTTAAAACTGCAGTAAAAGGAAACCGGGGAACCTGAAAGTGAGTAATTTATTAACTAAGTCCCTCTAACACTTGCTTAACCTTTTGTACAGTAAATCTGTCTTAAATATTTAAACATCTTCCTACAGCCAAATCCCCAAACACTGAAACATGAGAGAAAACAGTAATTATTTTTTTTTAATCCCCCCCTCACTTCAGCCCCAAGGAGCTTTGCCTAGAAGACATGAACATCCTCCAATCTCATCGCTTAAACTCTTCAGGCACTTTTCTGAGCAACTGTTCTCTTTGCACACTAAGATACAATGGAAAATGGGATAATTTCAATCATGCATTACTTTCAAACATTTAACAAAAAGACTGCTTTAAAGAAAGCCTTAAATCTTTACCATGGATGAACTATTTCTAATTGGCCATAACATTTGTGGCCTAATTGTAGCAAACAATCTAGACATTATTAGCCTGTTATTCCTTTGAAAAAACAGGACATTGGAGACTTGCTGCCTTATTTGGGCTCTTTTTTAGCCTTTACTATTTTAGAGTTAGCTCTTAGCCATCTCCAAGGTAACAAGGCATGGGCTATGTAGGAAAGAGCTGCGATACAGCTAGTACAAAACACATGTAAATGAGACTGTATGAACATACTTGTTTCTTTCACCTTTGAAAGGCATATGAACAGATTTCTGTGGAGAGCTGGGCCAGCTTTAAACAGCAGCAGAGCAGTGTCCAGTGCAAGTGGCAGGTGTGCTGTGCTGCAGCCAGGGCCTAGTAATCCACAGCCTGGATAGCTGAGAGTTTGAGTAGTAACGAAAAGAAAACAGGCAGGAAATCATTCTTTCAAACTGCTGCTGGGAATAAAAAGCTACAGAGAAGGTAACAACAAAAAAGCACATGGGCAGGCTTCCTGCCATTTCTGTTCCTTATTGTTGCCTTTCTACCCAACAGCAGAACCTGGTAGCTGACATGAAATAGTTTTGTTTCAGTCTTCATTGCTTGAAATCTCAAAATCAATATGGTAATCCTGATGTTCAGTTCCTTTTGTTACTGTATTTTATTAGTTAGAACTAAAGTAAAACGTGCCTGTTAGTTAGCTACCATTCTACTGTACTAACAATCTGACTGCAGGATTTCAGCTATCAAGATCCTTTCAAAGGACTGGTGTTTTTTCTAAACCAAAACATCAGAACAGCTAGCTTCCACAAACTTCTCTCTGTATTCATCCAGCAGCAAAAAAACCACCATTTTGTGCATACCTTGTACTTTCTGTTGGCATTCACACAATTAAAGGAGAAAACTGCCAGCAAGCTCCATGCTTGTAGCGCATCATACATGCATCAGGCAAGGAAGCTGGGTTTGGAGGACCCCTGGGGCTCCCCGAGGGAAACAAGGAGTGCATAGAAGTTGCCTTGGGCACAGGTGCTGCTAATGACACACTCATGTCCCTTGTAAGTGACCTGGTGAAGCATGAGGCAAACATAACCTAGGGATAAGCTGGCAGAGCATCCCTGCCTACCTGAGCTCATTAGTTACAGCAGTTGTCTGCCATTTGTAACCACCCTCGGCTTGATGCTCTAATCATCACCGCTCAGCACTCCAGGAGAGTCAGAATGATCACAAGTCTCTGTGAGGGTGGCTCAACAGAAGTTCTTCCCAAATAAAGAGAAATAACACATTCACAAGTCCCCAGCTGCTTAAACAAAGTCACTAATTCTGTTCTCTATCAGCAACTTAAAGCAGCAATGAATGAACAGAACTCTCTAGTAACTGATGAGGAATGAGACCACAGCAAACAAAACACTGCTCTCACGCAGTGTCCTAAAAATGTATCTTTGGAAAGAACATACATACAAGTGTACAGTTCCCATTTATTTTACTCAAATTGAATAAAGTGTATTTCCCATATTATACTTTTTTTCCATCTGAACCAGTCCTAGCAGAAAGGAAGTATAACCCTCCCACCCCCCTTGAAATTTAAACATACCAGTCTGTGGGCCCTGGAAAAGTTTGTATCAGTATTACTCCATTGTAGAGTGAAAAGGATCTCAGAAATAGACTCCATTGCCAGTCCACCATGACTAGCTTCTTGTTTAACCCTTCATGGTTTCCACTGTCTGACCAGCATCTAGAACCCTCTTCTGAGTTGCTGGACATACATCCTGACAGTAGAAAATCCAAAATGTCTTCTTGCCCAGTGAACACTGGCACTGCTTGTAAAGTCTGAACAGAGTGCTCTTGTCTAACGAGGCTGGCCAAGCAGTCCTGCTTTAGCTGCCAGAGCTTCGTTCTGCTGAATATGGTACTCTTGAAATCTCATGGAGATCCTTTGTGTCATTTTTAAATACTTCTGTAGGCAGTGGTCTGAGCAAGTCATCTAGAGGAAGAGGGAAACAGAAGGCTTCAAACAGTAATTAAAACACTTCCCCAAACAGGACCCAAAATATAATCATATACAGGGATAAATGATTAGGTGACTACATCTCATATTCTGTATTCAGCCTCAAGATGAGGGCCTAATTGCGCACAGCCTCTCTGTGCAGTGGAAAAATGTGAAGTTTAGTTTTTGAGGGATGTCCGAAACATCTTTCAATATTCATTCTCATATGAAAGTCTTCATGGAAAACATCTCAGATCTAGGAGATATTACCATTTCATCCTTGGGCTCCTCTTGTGAAATCAAAGTATAGAAAGCATATTATTTTGCAATAAATACTAAATCTATTAAGTTAGCATCTTCTTTTTTTAATTCTGTTTACAAACACATAGTGGTTTTGACAGCCAAATATGGTCTCCTGTGTGCTAGCTCAGTTTAACCTTTTTTTGACCTTGTTCCCATTAGCTCTATCAGTCTTCTTGCACTTGCTCGGTTAGCCTTCACAAAAGCAACCAGAACACCCTCTGAAGTTCTATCAGTCAGCTGGACAGGGGAATAAATACCAGGGTCTATTCCACCCATGGTATTATTTTCTAAATTTAGAGGGGTTTTTTCCTTTGTGTAACTGTAGAGAAAGTTATGAGATTATTTCTGAGCAACAGTTGTACCAATTGGATATTCTGTATCACGGTTCTAAACCTTGCTATCACTGTAAAAGTTAACAAGTTTAGATTGAAAGGAAAGACAGCCACTTTGCATGATTACTAGAAAACCAGAAATTGCTTTGATTCTGCTCAGTATAAAGGGATGTGAAAAGCAGAGGGGCTGAAAATGAACAAGACAAAAAACACCCATGCAGCTATGCACACCACCCACCACCCGCCCTTCTCTCTCCTTGACCTGGCATCAGCTACAGGAAAACCTGTGCAGCAGGAGTTAAGTCTGACTAGGAAACAAATTCTGGAACTACCCCAAGCCACTTCTCCCAGAGGGTGTGGTATTTGCGATATGGTGCCTGGGGAAGTCTAGACTTGCAGTGCAGACTTGCTGTAGGGAAAGAGGTCAGAAGCTGTTTTTTCAGATGTAGAATCTCAAAGGAGATTCATGGAGGTATTCAACTTAATTACTTAATAAGAAACTAGGACTTTAAATAGGAACATAGGAGTTTCCACACCAGATCAGACCAGTGGTCCATCTAGACCAGTGTCCTGTTTCCAGCAGGGGCAAGAGCCAGGTGCTCTGCAAGAAACCCCATAGTGGATAATTATGGACAAAACTTCCCGTAAGAAAATTTCTTCCTAGCCTCCATCGTTAACAGATGGCTCCTGTACTGCCAGACATGGCCCTTTTGCAGATCACAGAAGCAAAAAAAAAAGCAGATCAGGATCCAAGAATATTTTTTGTATCTAAATAATCTTAAGATTAATTTCCCTCCAATGAGCACCCCTTGGTTTTGGATCCCAGGTCTTTAATGAAAGACTATATGAACCATTATTTTTAAAGAAATTCTAGTAACACTTTGGGTAGCAGAAGAAAGGCAGTATAATCCTCTACTGGAAATCAAATAGCATCCTAGAAAGGTGAAGAGGTTGTGCCACTAACACTTCTGTCAGTTCTGTTAACTGACATTCCTTGCATTGTCCAAGCAATTCAAAATGAGTTGGTAAAAGACAGTAACAAGACCTTATCCAGAATAATTCTGACCTCCTGTAGTCAATAAAAATTCCACTAAAGCAGATGCAGTGAAGATCAGGGAAACAAGGAATCTGCCTTGGGAAGCTAAGAGAGCTTTGTTTAGCGCAGCAAAACAGAAGCTGAAAGGAGACATGATTTTTGCCTGCACTGAGGAGTGAAACTCCAGGGAGACAGAAAATGCTCAAAAACAATGGTTAGTTTAAAACTTCAGTTCTTTTTCACTGCCAGCAGAGTCAAGCAAAGGTTATTAGACTTTTAACCAACAAGATTATGAGATTCTGAAACAGCCTCTCAACAGGAGAGGAGAGGCAAAAAGCATGCAGCTAATCTTATCGAGAGCTTAATCTTTTTTGCAGATGACGATGTGATGGAGCTCCCCGCAATGCAGAGAAGTGGATTTAACAGCCAGAGCTTTGAGGCCTATGTTTCTATGACTCACTACAATGCAGGGAACGTGGGTAGGTAAACAAGTATTTCAATAGGATTCTACCTTCAAAGAACGAGATGCAGGCTGTAGGTGGGCAACTTCCATGTCCATAAAGATACCACCCGTCAGAAGTTGAGGCACAAGAACCTCCACTGATAGCTCAGAGAATGAAATACACAAAATTGCAATAAGCAGCCAATACTCACAGCGACACTGGGGAGATTCCCTCTGTGTGTACATGCTGAAAAGATGACAATGACAAAACCTCAAGAGGTCCTAGCCCATAGTTTTTCTGTAGCTGATGATCTAACACATCAAAAGCACTTGGCTTTGGTTGGTTGGTTTCTTTCTGTGGACAGACTGTTAGGGTGCAAAGTAGTATTTGCCATCACCTTTGGACATACTTGGAGAAGCAAAACTACAGACAAGCCATTTCCTTCCACTAACTTCCTTTCTCACTTGGAAGCTACATGCCAGACACCTATATTCCACTAAAGCCTGCTAACTAGCTTTTTAGCTAGTTGAAAAGATCAAAACTTTAAGTTGCTTTTGAAATTTGAACGCTACATGGCAATTCTACCAAAGGGTCATTAAAAGCATAGGAAACATTTACCTACCTCTTCTGGTTTAACCTCTCTGCTAGTGAAATCCTTTATGCAATCTAGGAAGCAGTTTTCTGTAAGTTTATTGTATGTTCCAAGAAACTCCTTGAACTATAAATAAAAATTGAACGGACAATGAGTATTAAGAAAATTCTACATTAATTTCTTACACACAGCTGCATGGGCCATCTGGTGACACTAACATTTAAAGGACAAGTCACTAGAAAAATTTACTATCAGTCAGAAGATTTCAGCACCAAACGCTGCTAGTACTCAAATCAGATACTATCCTGTGCCTGTCAACGGTGAAATGTTCAAGTTTTGGTTGCTACAGAACTTAACTCAGATGATAACTTAAACTTTCTGTCCTTCTCCATGCCCTACACCTTTTACTCTATGTGACAAAGTAATACAAGATCTTCAAAGCCACCACTCGTGAGTACAGCATCTTACCTGCTTGATCTGATCAGATTCCGATATTTGTCCAGCCATATTCTACCGCCTGTGATTCACTCACCTATTCTGAAGATAAAAGTCGAGTTTCACACAAAAAGCATACATATGAAACGCAACATTTTACAACAGAACAGAATTTTATACGTCCTTGAAGTGTGTTTAAATGCAACTTTGCTAGCAAACTTTCAAGCCGTCCACTTGAAGGAAAGTTACCTATTTGAAATTTATTCAGTTAAAAGAACATCCAAGATAATTCCAGGAATAAAACCTTCCCAGATCCACCTGTTAACCACTGCCCTTTAAACACTCTTTAAGCATTTCAAACAGTTAAAGTGACTTAAAAAAAAAGAAGGTATTTTATAAATGCTTTCAAACTCACAAAGTAAAACTAGGGCAGGAGTGGGGGGAGAAGCAAGCAGTAACATTTTCTGGCCTTATAGTTTCAGTGACTCTAGATATCTGTAAAAACAGTAAGGAAAAAAGGCAAGCACGAAATGGTAGCCACCCTGAATAGATGCAGCACAAGCCAGCTTGCATCAGAGAAGCAGACACCTGGTTTCTACGTAGCTGCATTCTCACCAAACACTTAAACTAGAGCAAGTGTTCTGGTCATTGAATATAGTGAATTAAATGCAAGAAAACATAGAAGAATGAGAATGGCCTTAAAGGAAGTGAAACAGAAAGAAAAAGGGAAGAATGAACAGCCACGGATCCAAGAATTTAAGCAAGCATCCTCAAGGAAGACTGGCATTCCTAATCCAACACGGTAAACAAGTTAAGGCTTGAAAGCATCCCTGCAGGTTTCCTAGAAGAACACTGAAAGCTAGTCTTCCTTTTCCCTTAATTTACATTTTATCTAAGACCTATCACAGATGATAACACAAGCTAATATTACACATCGATGAGAACAAGATCCTTCAGTTTAATTCACATCAACTTGTGGAAGAAAAATTAGCACTGAAGTGTAATCACTTTGCGAAAAAAATTCATTTAGCCCTTTAGCAAGGGCCACTTATAATTAATCTTGTATTACGCTTTGCCAAGCTTTGAGCAAGCCATTCATGTTTTAGAAAGCTTAAACTATTCCAGTCTCTCGGCAGGGGGAAGGGAGAGGGTAAGCAAGCCTTCTGAACAAGAACAAAAAGACATTAGTAATCATTTCTACAACAGAAAGAAAACTAAGCAACTAAAAATAACACTATGGAGCTCTCACAAGCATGCACTCTCCCTACACCCCCTCCCAGCAGCAGAGTGATTATAACATCTCCCTCTTAACATTACACTTTATCACTACACAGAAAGTCCATTCAGGGATTGGAGGTAAAGAGCACATATGATTCTTGGATTTAAGACGCATACCCCCGCAACCAAGAATTCCTCGTGGGCAGATAGGTCACACGGGTTACTCTTAAGGAGAACCTACAGGATACAGTTGCTCAGAAGAAACAAGGCATTACTCAGGTTAACGTAAACCTCTAACTTGTTTTAGGAGAGGTGGACACAACTATCATCTGGGACAACAACTAGTAAAAATGGATAGCAACTCCACTCGCTCATTTCTCAGCCTGTTAGGAGAAAAATCAGTGACAATTCTATAAAGTCAGTTTAAGTAGATTATTAAACAGAGTTAAAAACCACAGAGAACAGGAAAGACTTCTGTCCTCTCCCAAGCACAGAAAGCTAAAGGCTTCAACTGTCCGTGCCATTTTCTCACACTCAGTGTTGCTTCATTATGCTTGTTGATAACAAACCTGATCTTTTTGTTCTTCTCCAACTAGTTTGGCAAGCTTAAAATTACAGTTTTACTGAACTGCAGTTCCACAAAGCTTGTACACTTGCCCTTGGGAAATAGCTCTGATTTTAAATCAGCACAATGGCACTATCCGATTTTAAGTGTCTGAAGCACTTGTCCCTCTACAGGTATTTTACACTTTCGACACAGCGGGCAGTGAAATTACATGGCTCTACTGCACCTCTTTCAGTAGCTATAAATTACAGGCAGTTGCCTTAACATCTAAAAACGCGCTACCTGAACGTTCCCAGAAATGTGCATATCTGGTTTATTCTTAAAGTATGTTAAATGTATCATTTCAAGTTTGCTTGTTGTTTGCCCCCTTTCCCTCCAGCCTGTGAAACAAGCAAAAAAAAGTGATGAAAGAACCTGTTACAGGGCTTGGCACCCTGACTAACACACCACACAGCTTCTTACATAGCCGCTCAGACAACTCCGGCGTGCTTCAGGTTTAAGCCTATGCAGCCTGGATTACCATCCTCTGGGCTAAATGTGATTTGGAAATTCAGCATTGCACTTAACATCACACTGAAGGAAGCAGATATTTCTGAATAAACCTCTGCAACGAGGGCCACATGGTCTGGATGTGCTGGTTCACCAGAAAAGTAGCAACAGCTGGGATGTCTCCCTTCTTGAAGGGCCCTGGAGCTCTTCCAAATACATTTTGCTGTTCTATAGAGACATTCTTTTAAAATAAGCCTCCCTGAGCAAAATTAGCAGTTAAGGATAACTTGAGGTTTTGATTTCCCATAGTTTCTCATAATGGATTTTCCATCCTCTTTCCAAAAATAAAGGTTTTAGCCTATTCAAACCTATTCTCTATGCAAGATCCATCCCAGCTCCCGCCCCTGTTTTAGAAACTGGAAAATGCTTCCAATATTTGCTTCTGCTGCGGCTGCCACTCCCATTGCCATGGAAACATGAAATTACCAGAGTGACAGCTTTTTTTAAAAAGGTAAAGCTAGTTTATTAAATAAAAACAGTGATTAGGTTAAGGATTCCTAGCTAACCTGGGTCAATCATCTATCTGTTTCCATGGCAGGAGGAACCAGAGGTCAGAACTCTTCTAAAACTTCTCACCTGTGGGAATACAACTTCCCCTGCTGTATCTCCAGACCTCTGGAAGCAGAGGGCTCATGAACGTAACTCCTAAGCACTAATAACAGAGCACAGTAACAGAGCTTTTGATTATTATTACTGTACTGCTGGGTGGCTGAAAAGCCTGCCTCCATTCCACAGCCTGGAGTTCTTACAGGTGAAACACGCACTGTAAACTACAGTGAGGAAGTTTGGTTTTTTTCCACTGATGTAATCAACATTAGTGTCTATTATCTAGTCTTGAGTCAGGAGGACCCCTTCCCATGGAAGCTAAACAAGCCCTGTGTTTTGTTTTGTTTTTTTTCCCTTTTCACAAGGAGCTACATTTTATTGGGGGAGGGGTCTGTGGAGAGACACCATAAATCCATCACACTTGTTATCCTGATTAATAATCTGAATTAGGTGTAGGTACGACCGACTCTATACATACAAGGCTGCAATTTCTTTTTTTAAACCTTCACTTCCAACTGTACACACAGAACACCACGCAAGTGTTTCTGCATGTGCATAAAAGGGACAAAGAGGAATAAAAATATCAAGTCAGAGAAATGTGTCAAGATAAAGCGCCTACAACTTGTAGAGAAAGTTTTTTTTTTATAGTCGAGAATTACTAGGCTAGAGCTTGATTGACATCAGAGTAAAAAACCTCATTGATTTAAATAGCTCTTTTACTGAATCTAATCAAACTACAAATACCTATGAAACCAGGTAGGCTGCTAAACTAATCACATAAAATTCAGGGCACTTTAACACCGAACTCCTGGTGCTGTGTGCCTGGAAAATACATATTTTTCCATAAGCGGTCTCCTATTTAGGTTAGATTAGGCCTGGCCGATACCTGTGACCCAGTAAGGTTCCTAAGCTGCAGATAAAGCAATTTCACCTTGATTTTGGGGTGTTTTTTTGTTTGGTTGTTTTTTTTTTTTTACCACATCCT